ATGGCTTTGAAGATGCAACATTGCATATTGAGAATTTTTTCTTGTGTTAAATTTCAGTATAACAGAAAATACTTTCCTCTCTCAGTCCTTAGCTGTCATTTTCTGAGGGCTGCTTTGATGCAGCCTGAGAGCATTCCAAGGGCTATTCCAGGGCATGATGTGCCACTACCACATTTTTTTCACCACTTTCACTCTGGGCAATGTTTCCAAACTGATGTTTGTAGGTATGAGATTCCATTTTTACAGTGGCTTTCATTGGGTCAGAAGGTACTTCTGTGAAGTTTCCAAACTCAGAATGCTGATAGTCTAGAGTTAATCAAAAAGATCCAACTTTTAGTGGTGGGTTCTTCATTGGTAGAGCTATATGTAAGTAAAAACAATTCCAGGCTGAAGGGTTTAACTGGCTCTTGCCTGAGATTTTGTTAGGCTAAAGCAGCAAGGTCCAGATTGCTTATCATAATTCCCATTATCCACCTGTAAATAATACATAACAACATTCTAAATAATTTCCATGATCATAGACCACCCATTCACCTCTACTTTCTGGTGGTTTAGGTCTTGAAGGAGACTGCAGGAGAGTGGAAAGCATTCAGGAAAATTCTTAGGTGGTGGTGGGAAGCCAAATTTGCAGAAAAGCACCCCAGTTCTTTCATAACATGACATAATTCTAATGGTAGAATAATGTATTACTTAGAATAACATTCTAACCATCCAGGAATTTTCCAGATAATCTTTAAAAATAGAGCCTTGTTCCTTTAAATCAGTTAACAAGAAAGCTGTTTTTCACCTGCAAAGGTATTAGGAGCAGACTTGGGGAAATGCAAAAAACTTTGTTGCAAAGCAGCAGCTGGCACAAATTTCATTGTATCAAACTGTTCTCTCAGCTAAGTTTTCTGGTTTATTCGTAGAGACCAGAATGGTTTTTCTGAAAGACAAGATGCATTGCCTGAACATTTTTCTAAATGAAAACTGCCTACAAATATTTTATGCTTAAATAAAATGACATGTCTAAAACACGTTTAAAAACTCAAGTTCAGAAATAAAGTGTTGGTTTTTTTAAATCTTCTCAAATGTCCAAAAAACATGAAAATGTAACTATTCCTACTAGTCCCAGTAGGAATAATACAGAGATGTGGTAAAACTGTCCACTTGAGGAAAAAAACAGCCTAGAAAAGAGCGCCTTAAGGACTAAGAAAAAAAGTAGAAGACCTCACTCTAGGCTACGCCAGGTACTTGCTACTGAAAGCAGGGATTTGTGAGGCAGAGCACAACCTCCAGCAACACACTGAGAATAGTTCTGGGAGTTGAAATGCAGCTACCAAAGAGACAAATTAATTAGAAGTAAGTTGTAGTATTTCCCACTGTGGAAACTACATCACTTTGCACTCAGTAGGGAATACAACCTTATACTTTATTTGTTTTGGGGTTTTTTTTAAAGCCTCTCACTGAGTGTTCTGGAAAAATGATTCTATTTTATTCCGTGTCCTGGGGCTCTGTGCAAACCTCACAACTCTGCCTCTGTCTGATCACTTAAGTTACTGACTAATCAATTGAACATTTTCCTAGAGGAGAGCAGTGCTTAATTAAACATCTCTATAATTCACCAGCAGTCTTGGTTAACAGGGCAGGTCCCAGATGACTGGAGGCTTGCCAACATGGTGCCCATCCTCAAGAAGGCCTGGAAGGAGGATCTGGGGAGCTACAGGCCTGTCAGCCTGACCTTGGTGCCCAGAAAAATTATGGAGCAGTTCATCTTCTGTGCGCTCACATGGCAGTGCAGGACAGTCAGGGGATCAGGCCCAGCCAGCATGGGTTCAGGAGAGGTAAGTCCTGCTTGACCAACCTGATCTTGTTCTATGACTAGGTAACCAGGTAACATCATCTACCTGGATTTTAGTAAGACTTTTGACACCATCTCTGACAGCATTCTCCTAGAGAAGCTGGTGGCTCATAGCACAGACAGGTGGACTCTTAGCTGGGTTAAAACTGGTTGGATGGCCAGGTCCAGAGAGTTGTAGTCAATGGAGTTAAATCCAATAAAGTGTTGGTTTTTTTAAATCTTCTCAAATGTCCAAAAAACATGAAAATGTAACTATTCCTACTAGTCCCAGTAGGAATAATACAGAGATGTGGTAAAACTGTCCACTTGAGGAAAAAAACAGCCTAGAAAAGAGCGCCTTAAGGACTAAGAAAAAAAGTAGAAGACCTCACTCTAGGCTACGCCAGGTACTTGCTACTGAAAGCAGGGATTTGTGAGGCAGAGCACAACCTCCAGCAACACACTGAGAATAGTTCTGGGAGTTGAAATGCAGCTACCAAAGAGACAAATTAATTAGAAGTAAGTTGTAGTATTTCCCACTGTGGAAACTACATCACTTTGCACTCAGTAGGGAATACAACCTTATACTTTATTTGTTTTGGGGTTTTTTTTAAAGCCTCTCACTGAGTGTTCTGGAAAAATGATTCTATTTTATTCCGTGTCCTGGGGCTCTGTGCAAACCTCACAACTCTGCCTCTGTCTGATCACTTAAGTTACTGACTAATCAATTGAACATTTTCCTAGAGGAGAGCAGTGCTTAATTAAACATCTCTATAATTCACCAGCAGTCTTGGTTAACAGGGCAGGTCCCAGATGACTGGAGGCTTGCCAACATGGTGCCCATCCTCAAGAAGGCCTGGAAGGAGGATCTGGGGAGCTACAGGCCTGTCAGCCTGACCTTGGTGCCCAGAAAAATTATGGAGCAGTTCATCTTCTGTGCACTCACATGGCAGTGCAGGACAGTCAGGGGATCAGGCCCAGCCAGCATGGGTTCAGGAGAGGTAAGTCCTGCTTGACCAACCTGATCTTGTTCTATGACTAGGTAACCAGGTAACATCATCTACCTGGATTTTAGTAAGACTTTTGACACCATCTCTGACAGCATTCTCCTAGAGAAGCTGGTGGCTCATAGCACAGACAGGTGGACTCTTAGCTGGGTTAAAACTGGTTGGATGGCCAGGTCCAGAGAGTTGTAGTCAATGGAGTTAAATCCAGTTGGTGGCCAGTCATCAATGATGTCCCTCAGGGATCAGTTTTGGGGCCAGTCTTGTTCAATGTCTTTATCAACAATCTAGGCGAGGGGATTGAGGGCTCCCTCAGCAATTCTGTAGATGACACCAAGTTGGGCAGGAGTGTTGATCTGCTTGAGGGTAGGAAGGCTCTGCAGAGGGACCTGGACAGGTAGAATTGATGGGCCAAGGCCAATTGTATGAGGTTCAATAAGGCCAAGTGCCAGGTCCTGCATTTCACTCACAGCAACCCCCGGCAACACTCCAGGCTTGGGGCAGTGGCTGGAGAGCTGCCCAGCAGAGAAGGAGCTGGGGGTGCTGGTGGACAGCTGGATGAACATGAGCCAGCAGTGTGCCCAGGTGGCCAAGAAGACCACCAGCATCCTGGCCTGCATCAGGAGTAGTGTGACCAGCAGGACCAGGGAGGTGATCACAGCCCTGGGCACGATCTTATGATCACCAGAACTGGGCAGTGATGAAGCTGCACCTCAAGTCTTGTGTTCATTTCTGAGCCCCTGACTACAAGAAGGACATTGAGGTGTTGGAGCAAGTTCAGAGAAGGGCAACCAAGCTGGTGAAGGGTCTGGAGAACAAGTCCTATGAGGAGAGGCTGAGGGAACTGGGATTGTTTAGTTTGGAGAAGTGGACACTGAGGGGAGACCTCATTGCCCTCTACAACTACCTGAAAGGAGGTTGTAGTGAGGTGGGCATTGGCTTCTTCTCCCAAGTAAGTAACAGGACCAGAGGAAATGGCCTGAAGTTGTACCAGGGAAGGTTTAGATTGAATATTAGGAAGAGTTTATACTGAAGGAGTGGTCAGGCACTGGAACAGCCTGTCTGGGGAGGAGGTAGAGTCACCATCCTTGGAGGTGTTCAATACACATGTAGATGAGGCATTTCAGGGCATACTCTAGTGCACTTTTTTTCAGGGGAGGATGGGGGTTGACAGTTGGACAGGATGATCTTGAAGGTCTTTTCCAATGGTGACAATTCTGTGATTCCTCCTGGAAGGATATCAGTACAAATGAGGAACTGCAAAAATTATGAAACAGATCTTGCAAATGTTTACAAATGAATTTGGCAGTTTTCTGGATCCTGAACAACAGCACCCACAGAAAACCAGAATGGGACCAAACAAATCTGTTGCTCCCATCAGCCCTTTGACTGTCAGAGGAGCTCTCCTCATGAACATTATCCCAAGCATAAGTCCCAGAATTTGGAATGAGATGCAGGTTAATACAGTGTAAAAGTGTTAGTTCCAACTTACTGACCAAGATCTGTTGTCTGCATGAAGTTGTTCTGCTCTGGAGCTACATACATTGAGGTTCAGATTCCCTGATGCATGTTCCACATTTGCACCCTCTGTTTCTTTCAGAATTTGGAAGCCAAGTGGAAGTGGAGATGCTGTTCCCCTGTATCTTTGTGCTCATGGCTATTCTTTACCAATCTGTTTGGTTTTTTTTAATACCAGAGTCTAGATGAGCCACTTCATCTTTGTAACATGATTTAAATTAAAATTCTCTCATTACAAGCATGTAGGGGGTCTGAGTTCTAGCTGGGTGAATTTTTACTGTACAGTACCAACCTGCTTTGCTTCTGGACAAATACTAGCAAAAAACACCCCCCCCAAAAAAAAAAAACAAAACAGCTATAGGATTAGACTAGATGACATTTTTGTCTGATGCCTTGAACTTCTTGTTTGTCATTTGATAAGGAAATTTACGCAAAACTTTTATCTGTTTGGGTGCTGGAGGGTTCAACATTTTTGGGCCAAAAAGGCCCTGAGTAACACATAAAAAACAAGTAATATCAAATTCATTTTTGGCAAGGACAGTAAAATTTTGTAATCTTCTTCAGACCAAATGGAAATCTACAAATGCCAGCTCTGTAGTTAATATTTTACAGGCACAGGTAGTAAAGGGTATATAAGCAAATGCTTTCCTTACAATCTTCCTAGCATTTCTGAGCAACTTAGCCCACATCATAATCTGCAACCATGAAGTGGGTAACATTAATTTCATTTATTTTCCTCTTTAGTTCTGCTACATCCAGAAATCTACAAAGAGTTGCTCGAGGCGCAGGTAAGAAAGGCCTAATTTTTTGTCTCTGTTATATTTATGTAATGCCTTTAATGCAACTTCACACAAGATTCTTGAAAGCCTGATCCAAACAGAGCAGAAAGAATTGGCTGACTCAAAAAAAACCCAACCACTCTAAATTCAGAAATGGTGAGGAAGTGGGTAGAATACTCAAGAGAACTTAACTTGGCAAGTGAGCTCAGTGACATCGCTTTGCAACATCAGTGTAGAGCATGAACAGATGTTGATTGTTCAGAACCTCTTACTTTCCAGCATGGAGAAAATGGATGCAATGTGCTTTTGGAAGTGCTGTCTTTGGAATGACAGTTCATAAGTGAGCTTCTCACCAGCTAAAGGCAACTGTTTTCACACAAGTAGGTCAAAAAACTACATCTCAGTCTAGGCTATAAGGAGGCTAGCCAAAGATTCCTCATTCTGTCATTTCTCCCTGTTTTAGGGAACTGTAGACCTTAGTCAAATAAATATATTTCTGCAGACAGTCCTAGAAATTTTTCCACTGATACTTTTGATTTTTGTTTGAAACATGAAAATACCAAAATGCAACAAAACTGAGTTTTTAGGAACTGATGAGAAGTGCCAGTGAACAGCAGCAAAAAATCTTTATATGGCTATTTCCTGCACTGGAACCCTTTTTATCAAAGCAGGTATACGCCATTAATCAAAATAATTACTTTTAATGTTTTCTAAATGCTCCTGCATGGTATTTCTAGAACAAAATGACTGTCCCATTCCAGCTTATTCATTAGTGGGGCCATATGCCCCAGTATCTGTTGGGAAAATCTCATGGAGGTCTTCTCACCAAGAGCAAGGTGTAACTACAACCTGTATTATTATGATCAGGGCCCAGTGAAGGCTTTTATTTGCCTTCCTTCTCATGAAGAAGATAGTACACATTGGGTGGAACCAAAATATGAACCTGCCAAGCTAATAATTTTATTTTCAAGAAGAAAATTCTGCTTCTGCTTGCTCTTATCAAACTGCAGCTGCATTCCTTGATTTGTAGTGTAGACATGGTAACGTCGTTGATTGTCCAAGAGACATGTTTGCTAACCCCTAACAGCAAGATACAGCAATCTTTTTCAATCTTCAGATTAAGTATATGCTTACAGAGGTAAATATTTGATTAGAATCCTATAACTTGGATGGCTTGGGTTCCTTCAGAAAGATGTGTAGGTATCCACAGACCCATGGATAAGAACGGCCAACTGAGCCAACAAAGAGTTCAAGGTGGCCTGAAGAAAGCTTTAGACTGCAGTTCCTTGCAAAGCAGTACAGATTACCCCGGATAGGGTACCCAAAGGTGGGATTTCACAAGTGTTCACCATTAGCTTGGTCTGTTTCAAAGCAATGATGTTATTCCCCTGAGTGTAAGAGCTGAGTGAATGCTGAAAACTTCTGAAAAGCTGGCCTGAGGTGCCCAGGCTGTATTCTTTAAGGGCTCTAGCACAGGCAAGGTGACACTCAGCATCATTGTTCTCTCTTTTTCTTCCTAGAACACAAGAGTGAGATTGCCCACCGCTACAATGATTTGAAGGAAGAGACATTTAAGGCAGTGTAAGTGAATGTTCAGCCTACATTTTCTGATTGGTTCCCATCTCTGTTGATATTGGACAAAAAAGGGCAACTAAAACACACTGTATGAGCTAGTGAGGAGTGTGTATCTCACTGAGGCATGGCTTTGAGCTACCCTTTTACTGTTAGTATACAAAGACTACAAAAATATTAAGACCTACAAAAGACAGGATGGCTTGCTTGTTCTCTGGGAAAATAACTCCCTGCAAACCTCAAGAGAAAACCTGTGTTACTTATGTGCAAAGAAAACAGGCTTGGATAAGCTTAGGATGGAGAGAAGTGGTACTGGATTGACACATTACCAAAACCAAACCAAACCTGAACCACCAACCTCAAAAACCAAACATGTGACTGATTTTCTTAGGCAATTACAAGTTTTTCTTTTCAAACTGGTTTTGGGAATGGCAGAGGGTCCATAAATTCTGAAGCATCCAGCTGCAACACAGGAAATTCCACCTCAACATGAGGAAAAACTTCTTTACTGTGAAGGTGACACAGCACTGGGACAGGCTGCCCAGAGAGGTTGTGAAATCTCCTTCTCTGGAGACTTTCAAGACCCATCTGGACACATTCCTGCATGACCTGCCCTGGGTGATGTGGCTTTGGCAGGGGCATTGGCCTGGATGAGCTTCAGAGGTCCCTTCCAACCCCTGAGATTCTATGTAAGAAGGCAGCCTAAAGGCCATCATTTGTGACAGTGACAAAAAACAGCTTAGTTTATGACATTTACAAATATACTGGTTAAAGTGGCAGAAAATTCAAATCACAGTCTTCTCTATTTTGTTCCTAGTATTTTATTCAAGACTTTTGTTCTTGGGAATTAAGATTTAAATAATTTTTTTTCAGAAAGGAGGTGAAAAGAGGAAGTGTAGGGGATGTGGGACTATGTTCTTCACAGCGCTCTGTTTAAGCACTGGGCTTGTCATTTAGACAAACAATTTTGAATCCAAAAGCACCTTCAAAAATATTGACTGTTAGGTTCCTTATCTCCATATTCCCAAATGTGCTTTGTGTTTCAGCACCATGATCACATTTGCCCAGTATCTCCAGAGGTGTTCTTACGAAGGTCTGTCTAAGCTGGTGAAGGATGTTGTCGATCTGGCACAGAAGTGTGTGGCTGACGAGGATGCTGCTGGCTGCTCAAAACCACTGGTAGGCAGCAAATCCTTTGGCACTGTGTTTCTCCTCACTCTAGGCAGCTGCCAGAATCATCCTCATTGATGATTTGTGCCTGATCCCTTCAGGTGCTGCCTTGGGCATCAGCCAATGCTCAGATTTCAGTTCTGAAAGAACAAACTAGTTTTTATCAGGTTCTGAAACTCTGCCCTTTCAGCAGTGCTTAAGTGATCTGTAGAGCCATATATTGGAGACCAAATACCACACTTTGGCACATTAAGCTCAACATTGCCTGGAAATAAACATTAGCCTTTAGTACAAATACCTCAGCTGTAAAAAGAAGGTCTAATTTAGGTATTAGAATGACCAAAGCATGTGGGTTTCCACACTAGGGTGACTTGAAAAGGTATGTGTGCAAATGTAAGGTAGTTTAAGGAGTTAAAAATACTCCTCTAAGATCAGGTAACAAAAGAAGTTTGCAGGTATGTAAGATCCCTGGATGTCTAGCAGGTTCAGCCTGGCCCTTCAGAAAGTTCTTGCAGGCCCTAACACCCAGCCCAAATGCCACAGATGTATTAGTTCTCCCTAAGGGTTTCCCAAGCTGATCATCAAGTAGAATATCAAACCCTGCTTCAACTCATCATCTGAAAGTGCACTTAGTCAGATTAAAAGTAAAAAGAGATCACCATCTTGCACAGGGTATTTTGAATTATAACTGAAGTTAATTTTTATCAGCATCGATACTGGACCACTTAAAACTTTACAAAACTGTGTTGAAAACAATGAATTATTCTCTTTTATGGTCTAAATCTTACCCAGTAAAAATGTAGTTACTTTTCAGTCTGGGTTTTCTTTTACAGATAAATAGAATGCACCTTACTCTTTCTAGGATCAATAATTCTGACTCTCAGCATCTCCCTTACAGCCCTCCATTTTCCTGGATGAAATCTGCCAAGTCGAAAAGCTCCGTGACTCCTATGGTGCAATGGCTGACTGCTGTAGTAAAGCTGATCCTGAAAGAAATGACTGTTTCTTGTCATTCAAAATTCCCCAACCAGACTTTGTTCCGCCATATGAAAGACCATCTTCTGATGTGATTTGCAAAGAATACCAGGACAACCGGGTGCCACTCCTGGGACAGTAAGGAAAATGGCTATTTTTTACTGTTTAAGGATTTAGTTGTGCAGAGAGGGATCCTCAAGCTATACAGAGTGTGTGAGCATGAGATATTTTAAAATAAGTTGCAAGTATTCAGCTTCATATATAAACCAGTTGCTCAGTCACTAAATATACAAAGCTCTGATTGTATTTTTTCATTCATTCTGTGCTAGAGCAGGTTTTTCCTTTCAAAAATGGGCTTTAAGGGATCATATTTTATAAATCTTGGAGACGTTTTGCCACAAAACCCCCTGAGAAACCACCATTTCCAAGATAGATTTCATAATTTACTTGCTCCAGCTTCCCACCACCTCATTGTAATTAGAAAGCATGAAGAAAGAGAAAAGAATAAAAAATGGCAATAACATCTTGGTGAAATGGCCATAGATTCCTTCTTCACACTAAGAATCAGAATTTTCAACTATTTGACAATGCATTTAAACAAACAAACAAACACACACAGAGGTCTTGGAGCAAGACCAGAGGAATCCACGAAGGTGATCAGAGGGCTGGAGAAGCTCTCCTGCAAAGACAGGCTGACAGGTTGAGGCTGTTCAGCCTGGAGAAGAGAAGGCTCCAGGGAGACCTTAGAGCACCTTCCAGTGCCTGAAGGGGCTCCAGGAAAGCTGGGGAGGGGCTGTTTACAAGAGCTTAGGGAACTGAGATGTAGCACAGCATTTACCAGTAGCAGGCAGTTTTGTGTTAGGGAAGATTACATTTCTAAACTAGAAAGTTCCAGAAGCTGCAAGGGATTTAAGGCCATTTGCTGTTGTTGTTGCAATATGTAACTTAAGTTTTCCTTTTTTTTGTAGTTTCATCTATACTGTTGCCAGAAGAAACCCCTTCATGTATGCCCCAACAATCCTCAGCCTGGCTGCTGATTATGAACATGCACTTCAAAGCTGCTGCAAAGAGGCTGATGTCAATGCTTGCTTGGATGAGAAGGTACATCACACATTTTTGACTGTGGATGAAAACTAAGCAACCAGTTTGCTACGTAAAGGTCTCTTCTGATCTTTGCAGCAATTCTCCTCCAAGTGAAAAGTGACTCTTAAAGGCCAATGTTAAATTACAGTTTATAATTCCCAAATAGTGCTTCCTCGTTATGGTTTTCAGTAAACATTTGTATATGGCTTCATAGAAATGAAGATAGTAAAGAAAATAATGTATTTTGCTGTTGTTTTTTTTTTAGGCAAAAGCAACAAATCAAACAGATAATTAAGCTTGCCTGATCGTCACTTTGCTAACACAGGCAGCTCTGGTTATTGTGCTGATGCACTGAATCCAGATCATGTATAGCACTTGGGGTTCTCCCTGTTTTAACTGTTGCGAGAAGGCGTGTGACCAAAGAAGCACTAGATAAAGAGAGATTTCAATTGGCAGCCTAAAATGCTGTCTCCATATCCAACATGTAGGTCAGGAGAGGTCTTTCCTACTCTTTGCCCAAGCAAATGGAAGAAAAGGCTGAGAATCATAGAACAGTTTGGGCTGCAAGGGACCTTCAGGATCATCTAGATCCCAACCCCCCTGCACAGGCAGGGACACTTCCCACCAGGCCAGGTTGCTCCAAGCCCCATCCAACCTGGCCTTGAACATTGCCAAGGATGGGGCAGGCACAGCTTCCCTGGGCCAGGGTCTCACCACCCTCACACTGAAGAATTTCTTCCTAATGTCTAACCTAAATCTACCCACTTGCTGTTCTGTATGGAAACTTGTAGAGAAGGGCCAAGGTCATAATCTATTACCCCTGTGAATTAATAGCAGATGACTTCCACATAGCTTGGACTTGCAGGGAGCTGTAGCCAAGATTTCATGTTTGTGAATGGCATGAGGCAGACTTTCCCTTTGTCTCAAACTCGGTCCCAGTGACTATCAGATGTACATCTATTCACTGTCATCAGCTTCATG